TAAACGATTCTGATTCCTAAATGATTCTGATTTTTAAACATTTCTGATTCCTAAATGATTACAATCCTAAACGATTCTGATTCCTAAATAAGTCCAGTTCCTAAATGATTCTGATTCCTAAATGATTCCAATCCTAAATTATTCTGATTCCTACGTCATTCTGATATTTAGTTGTTTCTGATTCCTAAACGATTCAGATCCGATACTATTCTGATTTTTAAATTATTCTGATTCCTAAACATTTTCGATTACTAAGCATTTCCTAAACGTTTCTGATGATTCTGAATCCAACATGAATAAAACTACAGAAATATAAATTGTGACTAAATGACTAAACACTGTTGTTTTAAAACGTTACAGAGCAGAAACTGATTTTGGAACATTAATGAAAACAAAACAAAACAAAATTATGATTTCTGAATTTAAATTTGTAAATAATATTTTGCTTAATAAGAAGTGTAATAAATAACCTTCTTATGAAACTGATGCCTCCTTTATTCCTGGCTGCATTGAGACATCTGAAGGAGCCTTTACTACAGTGCTGTAGGTCAGATCTATTATTGATTATAAATAGTTTAAATATGACATAAAAAAAAAACAAAATCACGCAATAAATTATCAGGCTTAAATTAACGAGCTATTGCAGTGGAAAGTCAACATTATGTAGACAGATCTGTGGACAGTGTCTCGTTATGTGTGACAGGGTCTGTCCCGGCGTGCTGTAATTAGTGGGCGGAGCCTGGGCAGGTCAGTCTGTGTAATGTAAGGGGTGTTTACTGATGTTTACTGTACTCTGCGTCTGAATCGGAGTCTAATTGAATAAAGCCGTGTAGTAAACGTGGGTGCGAGTCCATCTGGGTGTCAGAGTGACTGAATGTGGTTATTTCCTCCTGTCGGTTCAGCCGTTTATCCTTCAGACGAACTCGCAGCTTTAAGTGCTTTATAATTAACTGGAAATCGTCCCTGAACTCCGGCGGCGGCAGCGTCCAGCTGCAGGAGAGTGATTAATGCAGGACGCACAGCGTCATAACAACAACAATTAAAAAAGCAATTTACCACAGAGAGAGAGAGAGAGATGGGGGGGAAGAGGGAGAGAGAGAGCATACAGAGAGAGGGGGCAGAAAGAGGGGGAGAGAGGGAAAGAGAAGTGAGAGAGAGAAAGAGAGGGGGAGAGAGAGGAAGAGGGAGGAAGAGAAAAAAGAAAGAGCAGAAGAAAGAGAAGAGAGCAAGAGAGATTGGAAGAAAGGAGAGAGAGAAAGAGAGTGAAGAGAGAGGGAGGCAGAGAGAGAAAGAAAGCGAGAGAGAGGAAGGAGTGAGAGAAAAGACAGGGGAGAGAAAGAGAGAAAGGAAGAAAGAAAGTGAGAGAGAAAAGAGAAAAAGGACAGGAAAGAGAAAGCAGAGAGAGCATGAGAAAACAGAAGAAAGGAGAGAGAGAAAGGAGAGATAAAGACAGAAAGAAAGAAAGAGTGAGAGAAAAGAGAGGAGACGAATGAAAGAGGAGAGAGCAAGAGAGAGAAGAAAGAAAGAAAAGAAAGAGAGAAAAAGGAAGGAAAGAAAGAGAAGAGAAAGAGAGAGAGGAGAGACAGACAGAGAAAGTGTGAGCGAGAGAAAAGAGAGGAGAGAGCAAGAGAGAATGGAAGAAAGGAGAGAAAAGAAGAGAGGAGAGAGAGCATAAAGAAAAATGGAAGAGAGAAAGCGAGAAAGTGAAAGAACAGACAGAGAAAGAGAAATAGAGGGAGACAAAGAGTGAGAGAGCATGCAGAGGGAGAGGAGAGAGAAGGGAAGGAGAGACAGAGAGAACAGACAGAGGGCGGACTGAGAGGAAAACTGCTGAGTTTTAAGTGAAAATGAGTGAAATGAAAGAGAAGAAAAGCGTAAGAGAGGAGAGAACAGAGAGAACTCTACTGTTCTCTACTGCTCCTCTGCTATAAAGCAGTTCAGATGATTTTCAGTCTCAGACACTTCAGACACTCCACACACTGAAATACACAGACTGTCTGATGTAAACTGCACTCTAAAACCACCACAGCGCTCAGAGGCTCACTGAGAGTTTAGGGTTCTGGCTGTGAGGTCAGATACTGATGTTGGACAAGAGGTTCTGGCTCACAATCTCCGTTCCAGTTCATCCCAAAGGTGTTCAGGGGGGTTGAGGTCAGGGCTCTGTGAGGGCCACTGGAGTTCCTCCACACCAAACTGGTCACTCCATGTCTTATGGAGCTGCTTTGTGCACAGGGGCTCAGTCATGCTGGAACAGGAAAGGCTCTTCCCCAAACTGCTGCCACAAAGCTGGAAGCAGAGAACTGTGTAAAATGTCTTTGTGCTGCAGCATCAACATCACCCTTCACTGGAACTGAGAGCCCAAACCCTGAAAAACAGCCCCGCCCATCATCCCTCCTCCACCAAACTGTACTGTTGGCTCTGCATTCCGGTAGGTAACGTTCTCCTGACATCCACCAAACCCAGATTCATCATCAGACTGACAGATAGAGAAGCTGATTCATCACTGCAGAGAACACGGTTCCACTGCTCCACCGTCCAGTGGCGGCGCTTTACACCCCTCCAGCCGACACTTGGCACTGCGCATAGTGATCTTAGGCTTGTGTGTAGTTGCTCAGCCATGGAGACCCAATTCCTGAAGATCCTGACACACAGTTCCTGTGCTGATGTTGCTTCCAGAGGCAGTTTGGAGCTCTGTAGTGATGATTCAACACAAGATGGAAGATTTTTACTTGGTTTAGGCCCTGTTCTGTAAGTTTGTGTGGTCTTCTGCTTCGTAGCTGAGCTGTTGTTGCTCCATTTCACAATAATAGCACTTACAGTTGTCTGGGGCAGATCTAGCAGGACAGAAACTGCACAAACTGACTCGTGGCAAAGGTGGCATACTTGGACAGTGCCATGTTTAACCCTGTGGGGTCCATGAACTCAGTGTCTCTATATCTGTGTCTGTATCTTTGTGATGATCCAGCTCAGAAATCCAGTTCAAACACTTCCTGAATCTGTAGAGTCGCCCTTTCCATTCCATCTTATCACGAGATCATACAAGACTCACATCCGGAGTTATGAGCCTATGAAGAGGGGCTGAGATACACGTCATCTGCCTCTCACCGTGTGGAACTGGTGGATTCGTGTGTCCGTCTACATTCTGTGTGAAACTGACCAATGGACACTCAGGGAATCACTAAGGACTGACCATCACGCCGGAAACCCTTCATTCTTCATTCAGTCCACATCGGAGACTCATGTGAAACGGCCTGCAGAGAGTTTACAGCTGCTGAAGCTGCTGCAGCGGTTTTGGAAAGTAGTGATGAAGATAACGGAGCATTTAGATATGAAACATATGAGGATCATGATATATGAAGAGAGTTTAAAGGGGAGTTTAAGAGGAGGTGAACAGATCGAGAGAGAATGAGTCCAGAAGGTTTAAACTCACTGAGCTCTTCAGTGCGACCCATTCTACTGTTTGTCTATGGAGACTGCGAGGCTATGTGCTTGATTATGTACACCTGTTAGCAGTGGGTGTGGCTCAAACACCTGAACTCAGTAATTTGGAGGGGTGTCCACATACTTTGGCCGTATGAAGCTGTCCGCCAGCTGTTAGTTTGAGCCCAGATCTGCAGGATCCACACAGTGCTGTGATGAAGCGGTACACTGTGATCTGGAACAGAGGAGTGTTTTATCTGAAAGGTGAATTTACTCTGTTTAAACCCCCTGGGCTAAATTTAACCCACCGCTGTTTAATTTTACACCTTCAGCATCAGCACAGCGTTTTAATTTAACGCTGGGGATTTAACTGTGTGAGAACTTTCATCAGAGCTCACGGTAAAAAAGAGCTGTGTGGAAATAGGTGTGAGTGGACGTGTCGGACTGATTGTGCTGATATTTACATTAGAGCTGTAATTCAGTCCAGTTCAATTCAGCTTTACAGTTATTGAACCAGAGCAGTATAATCATATCTCTGCTACAGGACGCAGGAGACTCATCTGCTGCTGACTGACTGACTTTAGTACTGTTTTATGATCATTACAGAGTTTTAAAACAGCACAGTTTAAACTGTGGTATGCTGAGTGGGATTAATGCTGGCCTGGCTTGTTTATGCTGGTTTTTCTGGTTTTTGACTATTGTGCTGGACTATGCTGATCTAGTGCTGGTTTATGCTGGACTATGTTGGTCTGGTGCTGGTCTGGTGCTGGTCTATGCTGATCTAGTGCTGGTCTATGCTGGCCTGATGCTGGTCTATGCTGATCTAGTGCTGGTCTATGCTGGCCTGATGCTGGTCTATGCTGATCTAGTGCTGGTTTATGCTAGTCTAGTGCTGGTCTGATGCTGGTCTATGCTGATCTAGTGCTGGTTTATGATAGTCTAGTGCTGGTCTATGCTGGTTTATGCTGATATAGTGCTAGTTTATGCTGGTCTATGCTGGATATGCTGATATAGTGCTAGTTTATGCTGGTCTAGGCTGGGCTGTGCTGGTTTATGCTGATATAGTGCTAGTTTATGCTGGTCTAGGCTGGGCTGTGCTGGTTTATCCTGGTCTATGCTGGAATGTGTTGGTTTATGTTGGTCTATGCTGGTCTATTCTGGTCTAGTGCTGGTCTAGTGTTGGTCTATGCTGGTCCATATGATGGTTTATGGTGGTCTGTGCTGGTCTAGTGCTGGTTTGTGCTGGTCTGTGCTGGTCTGGTGCTGGTCTGATTCCGGTTTAGCATCAAAACACAACATATACTGGTTTTGCTGGTTTTTCTAACAGGGTGGTAAGAATATTTTTTCCTTCTCCTGTGAAGTTACTGGTTTTGTGCCGACACCAACAATATGTTCCATTTTAGATGCTGTTCAACCAGCATGACCATACCGACCATCTAAACTGGAATCAGACCAGCATAAGCTAGCATCGACCATCATAAACCAGTCTACCAAGCTACACCAGTTTACACTGATTGGCCGATGTTGATTTCCGTTTTGTTTGTCTGAATTTTCGTTCTTTCACTCTTTCACACACTCAGATATCGAAATTGGACAGAATGGACTTCCTTGGTGTTTTAACATCAAAAAGTAAGTGAGCAGATTGTAAGACTCATAATTATTCTGCTAATTTATAATTAGAGATATACTCAGATCTGCATTCACCACATACAGCTTACTCACTTCCAGCAGACACAACAAATCCTGTTCACAGTGATAATGAAGATATTCCACTCAGTTAAAACAAGTCCTTCCTCTGATGAAGCGAGTCCCTCTGATATCTCCATCACGCACACGTGTTCTACACTCTGTTTGTGAATGACGTTCTTTGAGGTGCCTCCAGCGTCATCTTTGTGTTTTTGTAACAGTAGTCAGTGTCACTGCTGGCAGCCGCAGTCTTTCAACTGCTGTCAATTATCCTGCGCTTTCATTCGTCTTGTTTAGCTGTAACTGCCAGCTATTGTCAGAGTATAAAGCCCCGCCTGTCACTCCGTGTGAATTCACTTCACTCCGTCTGTGCTTTGTCTCTTTGTACGTGGCTCTGCGCTGTTATTCTTATCGAAGACAGTTTTAGATTCAGTCAGCTCGAACAGTTTCTGGAGCTCTCCAGACGTTATGTTCCAGAACGCCATGTATCAGCGGTTATTGAATTTTAATAAATCTGCAGACATTTAAAGGAATATTTTATTGAAACAAATCATGAGTGTCTGAAGTTTGCCTCTTTAGCTTTGGCACTGGAGCTACGAGGCTAATGGAAGATTATACCCCACCAATTAGCATTAGCATCTGTCAACAGTGTGGAGGTGTTCAGGATCTATAACAGTCTTGATTATGTGGTTTCTGACACTGTTTGACTCACTGTGTATGACGGTGTCTATGAGGAGACATCACAATGGGTTATGATGTTGGTGGGGGGTGGGGGGTTATGATGTTGGTGGGGGGTGGGGGGTTATGTTGAGGCCCATTCACACCAAATACGATGTTTTGGACCGAAAAAAGGACGTGATTTTCAACGTAGTGGGACCTTCACACCAAGGCCAAAGCGTTTTCTGTCTAAACACTCTGAATTATTTCATAATAAGCACTGTAACTAAACCGTACTCACACTGGGTACATCCCATTCTGCAGCTCCAGCGCCTCCTACAGGAGCTAACGCTGCATAAAAAGTGATCCTGCAGGTGTTTCGAGTGAATTCGAGGCTCTGCTTCTGCTTGTTGTGAATGAACTCTGGTTAAATACAGTCACTGTGACGTTCTCACCGTCACTCACAGCCTTTCAGCTATGTTTTCTGCAGCCGTGACAACAGACCCTGATTGGTCAGCCTGATTTTTAACGCATCCGTACAGCACAGAAAACAGCAGCATCCCATTAAAACATTGCGCAGCATCAGTCCGTCAGTTTCAGAGTCGGTGTGAGAGACGGTGCTAATATACCTGACATGCCTGATTGTTTGCTATCCGGTGTGGTCCAGAGGAGGATGGGTTCCCCTTCTGAGTCTTGGTTCCTCTCAGTGGTTCTTCCTCTTGCTCTGAGGGAGTTTTTCTTGGTGACACTCGACCCAAATTTTTCTGTAACGTTGCTTTGTGACAACCACATCGTACCTATAGCAGACCCCTTTTTGGTGCGATATAAAACCATATACAACACATTCTCCATCAAACTGAAGAACCATTTCACCATGCAAAGAAATGGTTCTATATAAAACTATTCCTGTTACTAAAGAACCCTTGAAGAACCTTCTTGCATGTACGACAGCAGAGTAGCACAAAAGGCAAGAAACAGAGCATCAGACCTGGATCAGACTTCATACAGCTGTTTAAAACACCTGGACTCTCCAGAAAACAGGTTAGGAGTTTAACGCAGCAGCTGCGGCCTTTAGGATCGTTTAACATCTGGACAGATGTGAGAGGGAGGAGTGAAAGGGGTTAACGTGCTTCTAAATAAATTAGGAAGTCAGTTATGGAGTAAAACAAAAACAAGTAAGGCCTCACTTCCAGCTTCAGAAGAACATTACAGTCTAAACTGCCTTTTTAATCAAGAGAACTGAGAATTCTGTGTAGCTCCGCCCCCAGTCCTACCACATCTGTTACTGTAAGAAAAACCTTATATATCCATTTTGTTGATTTTGCAAATGCAAGCTAATGTTTACACTGCAGGCCAACAGAACTGACACAAAGTCACTTATAATCTTTAGTAAAACTTAAGTAAAATAAGACTTCAGTAATATTTTCCTACATTAACTCAGTACAGATGGAATTTAGTTCAGTATCTATTCCAGAATATCAGTTCCTACCTTCATAATCTCATCACGAACTCCAGATAAGAAAACAGCATCACACAAACATCCTAACTAGACTAAACCTCCTAAATCCTGTCCTAACTTTAGGATGAACCCCAACAGGGTCCTCACTTCTGTTTAAGGTCCGTTTCTATGGTTTTTAGGCAGCTGAGTCAGCAGCATAGTTCGCTACCAGCATAATGAGCTCCATTTATTTCTACTGTAAAACGCTGCTTTCACTGTGAGATGATTTTCTTTTCTAACTCTGCGTTTTAAAGATCTCAGACGCTGCAGACTCGATCTCCACCGCCCCTCTGATCACCTTCGTGTGTTAATGTTGATGATGAAATATTACAGTGATGGTGGTGAATAATGAGGAGACGGAGCTGAACGTGTGTCTGTTTATTAGGAGGAGTAACGTTAGCGCGCTCGGCTAAAGCGTTTGGGAAATGGAGACTGAAACTGGGGAGCGGCAACGCTCTGATAAACAGCAGGGGGCGCTCTCACAGTATTCACAACTTACAGTTTATCACACTTTAGTTCTGTTTGACCTTTTTTACATCAGTAACAGCAGCTTAACTCACATTTTAACATTATTTTGATGACGTGTTTACGTTTCAGCTGTGTGTTTATGGTCGGTTGCTAGGAAACAGACTAAATAGTTAATTATTGACTGATCAGGTAAGTTAAGATCTCCTAACTGGAGATAAGATGCTGTAAGAGAGGATCATCTCTAAAAAATCCAACTGGCCTGAAAAACCTTCCCTCAGTTTCTTTATCCAGACTTATTTGATATCAAGATAAAAAGATGCTTTAAAAATGACTTCAGTAAATATTGAGACACTCAAACTGTCAGTGATTCATGAACACCAGACGTCTGTTTACTTCAGCAGGTCTTCTTTCTCCTCCAGTGCTCTGAAAATAAATCAGGCTGTTTAAACAGATGCTGTAGTGAAGAACAGAAGGAGTGTTTCTCGCAGACAGTCACACTCTCAGCTCAATAAAGACCGTTAAATAGTTAATATTCACTCGTTAGCATCGCTAATATAAACCGTCAGGAGTGGAGATTGGACCACCGTAACGTTACGGTTCATCAGTGACACTTTAACTGATTCATATTCAGATTGTCGTCTGTCACTCAAACAGCGAACTGTTTAAAATCATGCTAGGAATCAAAGTATTATCTTTCCTCTCACAGAGACTCTACTGTACAATCTGAAATATATCATCTATGTTCAGCATTGTTACTGCCAGCATTAGGAGCTGGACGCCTTCATCTCACGGTCAGCTATAAATGAATGTGCCCTCCTGTACAAAAAATGGGCCAAAATGGTCTTAAGAACAAATCATTAAACAAATAGATGCAGTAAGTCAGTCTGGGAGAGATGTTCACTTCAAATTCTTTAGCCCTCCTGTTGTGTTGTGGGTCATTTTTAGATGGGCAGTCGTGGGCTGGAGGTGAGGTAACCAGCCTTGTGACCGAAAGGTTGTCGGTTTGATCCCCTGAGTCGACAGTATGTGACTGAAGTGCCCTTGAGCAAGACACCTAACCCCCAACTGCTCCCTGGGCACTGTGGATAGGGCTGTCCACTGCTCCGGGCAAGTGTGCTCACTGCCCCCTAGTGTGTGTGTTCACTAGTGTGTATGTATGTCACTGCACAGATTTCCCAACTGTGGGACTAATAAGGGTCTCTTAATCTAATCTTAATATGAACTTGTGTTAATAAAAACTTGTGTCCATGAAATGGCTTTAACTCTGAAACATGAAATGACCACAATTTTTTATTTTTGTTAAGACATTATTTTTATGAAAACGAGGAGGGACCATTTGGGTGGTCAATCTAGGAAAGATTATACAGACATAAAATGTAGTGGACATAAAAAGTGCACAGTAGGTATTTGTAGACATCCAGAACATCCAGAACACCAAAAAATACATACAATAGAATTAAGATGGATTACTAATATAATTCCAGAGAGGAAACCGTGGGGGCCGCAGGTCTTTTGGTGCAAATCAAAAGTAAGTTCATTTATTTTATTGAGTTATTTTTACTTAATCAAAACAACCCAACTGCAGTTTGATTGATTCTACCTGGAATGCACAATAAAGAACAGATTTATGAAAATTTAAAATGGAAATGTCTGTTTGTGCAGATTAACTCTTCATATTCACCATCACAGTGTCCAGCGTTGAGGTCAGCACTGATAGTTTAACACAGTGATGATTCCGATGGGGAACCAATAACAGATCAATATCTCTCTGCCGTCTGACTTTCCCTTTTATCTGTGCATCGTTTTGCCTTTTTGGCTCTCGACTCACTACAAACGCTGCAGCCTGCCGAGAGAAAAAGTTTGTGCACCCTAGTGCAGAGTGACCTGTTTTCCCGTAATTCCTGCGGAGCGGCTACTTCCGTCCTAATTCTAGTCGTGAATTGAGCATTGTTGGGGTCCTCCGCTCCCCCCGGACACCTCCTGCTCCACTTTAGCACAACACCTCACGTCTCCGAGTTCTGCGCTGTTCTTCAGGGAGTTCTGTGCTGTTTTTGGTTCTGCAGTTTTATTCATAGAGCCTGTCGTCTCTGCTGGTCACTCACCTTTATTTAAGATTGAATCGGCTCCACAGAGCGAGTCATGAAGAGTCATACGGCCCGAGACCAGCGAAGAGTCATACGGCCCCAAACCAGAACACGCTAGCTTAGCTTTAGCTTATTCACTGGTTCTAAAAGGATGTTTTCAGTGACGTCTGAGGATTAAAGAGCAGTAATGGAGTTGGGTTAATTATATGACTCACTGCAGTTAATCACAGTTCAATTAAAGCCTAATTAAAGACTCCTCAGTTGAATAAACTCTATACTGAGTTGCAGATGTGTGATATTTTACTAAAGACTGTTGAGCTCTTTTCCTTTTGACACCACGGTGTGTGATAATGGCCCAGGCAGAGTGACCGAACTGCTGAAATGAAACTGGACGTTGATGTTTATTGTGAATAAGGACGTGTTGGTGAGTCTGCAGGCTGAGTGGAGTTTCTCTGCTAATTAACCCTTTAAAGCTTTACGTCTCTCCCGGCGTGTTGTGTTTGTGTGTTCATTCTCCTTTTTTGTGTGTGTAGTTTTGTTCTCTACTGAATGTCAGTGTTGAGTGTAGAACTGTAGATCTGCTTCAGTTCATAATACTCTACAATATAAACAATTTACAGATGACAGATGTGCAAATCTATGATTCATAGTTATGTATTAGCTCTGCTTTACACTCTTAAAACGATGGTTTTTCGAGGGTTTTTTAGTAAAGAAAATGGTTCTATGTAGGACCATGAAGACTCAAAGAACCCTTTGCATGATTAAAGGGTTCTTTGCATTGTTAAAGTGTTCTTCAGATTGACTGACTAGGTGCTGTAGATGAGAATGGTTCTACATAGTACCCTAAAGAATTCTTCTATTGTTATGATGTCAAGCTTGCAACAATAGAAAAACCCTTTTTGGTGCCAAATGGAACGATTTTCAAAAAGGTCTATGTAGATCCATCTGTAGCACATTCATGCACATTTTCCATCAATCTGTAGAACCACTTCAGGATGCAAAGAACCATTTAATCATGCAAAGGGTTCTTTATGTGTTCATGGTTCTATCTAGAACCATTTTCTTTACTAAAGAACCCTTGAAGAATCATCTTTTTAAGAGTGTTGTTATGAAGTGAACTGAGGCTAATGGTTCATGTTCTGTAGAGCTGTGAAAAAGTTTTAAGCATCCAAATGGTTTAAAACTATTAATCTGCGCTCTTAAAAAAGATGGTTCTTCAAGGGTTGTTCAGTCCTGACAACGGTTCTCTATAGAACTATGAACACTCAAAGAACCCTTTGCATGATTAAAAGGTCCTTTGCCTGGTGAAAGAGTTCCTTTTTTTGAAAAGGGTTCTATATAACACCAAAAAGGTTCCACTATTGTTACAAGCCAGGAAACCCTTTTTTTGGTACTATACAGGCCTCTTTTTGCTAGTGTGAGCGGTGAGTTGTGTTTTTGCCAGTAAAAAGTCAAAGTCAAGTGAAGTCAAAGTTTATTTATGTAGCGATTTTAACAGCAGGCGTCGTCACAAAGCAGCTTTACAGAACAATCCGGTCTGAGCCCCCATGAGCGTCGCCAATGGAGACATTGGCAAGGAAAAACTCCCTAAGAGCAAGAGGAAGAAACCATGAGAGGAACCAAGACTCAGAAGGGGAACCATCCTCTTCTGGACCAAACCGGATAGCAAACTGTGTTAGTATAAAATATTAGAATATAAAACGGGAAAAACAGGCAGAGCAACGGTTAATTAGATAGTTTGAGTTTATGCAGCAGCAGCAGGAGGGTCAGTTCATGCAGGTGAGGTTTGCATAGTTTTGTACAGTGTGAAGCTCCATAGTGGTCAAACCGGTGCAGATCAGCCAACAGAGATGGAGCTCTGGTGACTCTAGCAGCTCTGGTGGCTCCCATGAAGACTCTGGCAGACGTCACTCAGGGGCTCAAATAGAGGGAGGGAGGGAGGGAGGGAGAGAGAGAGAGAGAGATTGATTAACAGGACAGGTGAGTTTATGGAGAGATATTAGTGAGTTAATAGTGCAACAGCTGATATTAGCAGAATGCTTGTGCAAAGTCTAGTTTTAAAAGGAAAAACAACAGTGGCTCTATTTTTATGCCAGTGCACCTCTAAAAGCTCCCTCACAGAAAGTTCCTACATGAAATGGTTATGAATTCACTGCCTGATGACTGAGACACTGTTTTATGATAGTTCAGAGAACTTAAACTCCATTCATGGTGGAGGGATACATGCAGGGTGCTGTGAGGCAAAATAGTCCCCAAAGAAAACTTATTATTTCAGATTTTCCACTATTTTCCATCATCAACATTCCATATAAACTCAGAAGACTCGTGTAGGTTCACTGGTGGTTCTGGATAGTAAATAAAATGTCTATATTTGTGTTGTAGTCATGGCGACCCCTGGTTCCTATCACCACCACTGTGAAGACATCTGAACCATTTCACACCAAACCACTCTGAATCTCTCTGATTACATCTCACACTGAACTATGGGGGAATTTTTAAAAATTGATTGAGTTCTCCTTTATCATAAACAAACAACTATGAAACACACTTCCACTTTAACTCCAGTGAAGACAACATAAATTAGCTGAGTAAAAACTGGACAGACAGCAAACTCGAGGAAAGCGACGCTCACAGAAAGCAAATCAAATGTCATCAACTTAAAATCCAAGCAGCCTCCCGTCACTACGAGCCCGAATGGAATGAGACCATAACAGTATAAATCAGTAGATTTCAGTTTAATGTTTCTGTTGGGGAGAGTTCAGGGTTTCTTTATGTTGTAGTAAAATACTGTTCATTTCTGGTTTTCGTTTTCAGTTCAGAGCCCTTATTAGACCTGATCACAAACACACATGCTAAACCAGGCAAACTGGGGACCTTCCAGGCCAAAGTGCTGCGGAGATCAGTGTTTACCCTCATCTAACGCTCTGAATCCAGTTCATGAAGGCCTTAATTAGCTGATGGGCTGAATCAGGTGTGTTTATTGAGGCAGTGAGCTGAAGTCTGCAGAGTTTTGACCCGCGAGGACTGGAGCCTGACTTGTATACTAAATGGTATTTTCTAGACTTCAAACTCCTGTTTTTTACTTTGACTCTCCTTATGCAGGTGGATTATCTCACATCTAATCTCCTCACAAACACTGACTTTAGCACAGCGCTGTACTTAGACATCGATCAGTGGTTTTGGGGCCGATGCTGATCGAGATCGGGGCCGGATGCCACATTTAAAGGATCAATTAGCAGTTTTCGGAGAACAATGTTTGTTGTTTTTTCTCAATAGGTGAACAAATACACCCTCCCCTCACTGCTCCTTCAGAAGCTTAAATTACCAGCCTGTTTATTTTGACATATTTATGAATATTAAAAAATACGCTGGTGTCAAACATGACAAGGTTAAATCAGATCATACCACATACAGAGTACTGACTGAAGATGAGACAAAAATGAGTACAAAATAATCTTCTGCTGGTGACATCTGTTTGAATTATTACCATAATTCTTCATGTCTGATATATTGTTGCAGTGTTGTTGAACAACATTGTTCCCAGTATTGATCCTTGAGGCACGCCCCACCATCGATTGATAAATAACTCTAATTCTGAACAGTTGCAGGCTGTTTGAGAGTAAGAACAGATGAAAGAGAATGATCCGCCAAGCCGAGAGCTTTAGACAGATCAATGAACAAAGCAGAACAGGCTGTTTTATCCTAATCGATATTACGCTGAATCGAGTTTGGGAGGTCAAACACCAGAACGAACTGGGGCGCGTAATATACAATGTTTTTAAATTACATTTTCAGTCAAATGTGTTTGTTCACTTCTCTCTTCTTTGTGTTGTGTTCACAGACAGACAGCACTCAGACTGGACAGACTGGACAGTGGAAATGTCCATGCAAAGTGAGTACTGAAAATCAGATGGTCTTTACTAATTGTGCTCAGATTATTTAATTATTTGTGAATATTAATAAACATAAACAGTGAGCATGCCGTTGTGGAGATTTATTTCCTCACACAGTGGTCAGTAGAGCGTCTCCTCTAAAAAATGCAGCAGTTCTGACCTCAGATCTCAGAGTTATATTCAGTATGAATTATTCAGTATCTACTATGAAATATTCAGTATGAATTATTCAGTATCTAGTATGAAATATTCAGTATCTACTATGAAATATTCAGTATGAATTATTCAGTATCTACTATGAAATATTCAGTATCTACTATGAATTATTCAGTATGAATTATTCAGTATCTACTATGAAATATTCAGTATGAATTATTCAGTATCTAGTATGAAATATTCAGTATCTACTATGAAATATTCAGTATGAATTATTCAGTATCTACTATGAAATATTCAGTATGAATTATTCAGTATGAATTATTCAGTATCTACTATGAAATATTCAGTATGAATTATTCAGTATGAATTATTCAGTATGAATTATTCCGTATCTACTATGAATCATTCAGTATTATTTGTGACTGTGTCTCTGTGTGAGTGCAGTGAGTGACTCTGATGGGGCGGTGAAAGTGGCTGAATGGCAGCACACATATTACTCCTCCGACTCCGGCATCCAATCAGGAGCCACCACAGTGCGAGAGGAGGACGAGACTGAGAGCAGCAAGAAGTTCCCCACAGAGAACACCACAGGTACTGCAGAACCAATAAACCCAACAGAGAACACCACAGGTACTGCAGAACTAATATACCCAACAGAGAACACCACAGGTACTGCAGAACTAATATACCCAACAGAGAACACCACAGGTACTGCAGAACCAATAAACCCAACAGAGAACACCACAGGTACTGCAGAACCAATAAACCCAACAGAGAACACCACAGGTACTGCAGAACCAATATACCCCACAGAGAACACCACAGGTACTGCAGAACCAATATACCCCACAGAGAACACCACAGGTACTGCAGAACCAATATACCCCACAGAGAACACCACAGGTACTGCAGAACCAAAACACCCCACAGAAAACACCACAGGTACTGCAGAACCAATATACCCCACAGAGAACACCACAGGTACTGCAGAACCAATATACCCCACAGAGAACACCACAGGTACTGCAGAACCAAAACACCCCACAGAGAACACCACAGGTACTGCAGAACCTAAAAAAAGAACTGATTCAAAGGTACTGCTTCAATAGAACAAATTCAAAATAACTGATTAAAAACTGATTCAAAGGAACCACTATGAAAAATTTGATTCAAAAGATCAAAGTCACAATAGTCGATTTAAAAGAACCGGTTTAAAAGATCCGATTCCTCCGCCAGTTGGTTGCTATTGGTAGCATGTTCTTGCAGGTATAAGTGTGAGTGGGAGGGAGGCGTGTTCAGCGCCTCCGGCTGTCCTCTGTTTGAGAAGTTTACGAGCAGGGAGACGAGACCTTCAGCAGAAATTAATTTTCCACTTGCCGAGCCTCTCTGTGGGGGGATTAAGGGCGAGGGGGCAGGAATAGCCCCCCGGGGCTGAAGAGGAGCTAATCTGGCCCAGTGGAAGATTCTCCAAATAAAAATCCTTTTAGCTTCAATAAACAGCCTCACAGAGTTACAGCCCCCCTCACTCGTCCTGTTCACTGCTGCTGCACTGTTTAACCTTTATTTTAATGACCGCGGGGTCAGGGAGGATTGTGGGCAAGCGAGGCAGTAGGACCATGATGCCCTGGAGCAGCTCAGACCGGTTCCTTATTTGGCCCATAAACCTGTAAAATGGGCTCCTATGAAGAAGTGAGTAATAAAAGATGAGGCAGATTTTTTCAGCATGGAATAAATGGATTCACATTGTACCAGTCAGGTGTAGTGTCCACTAGGGGCAGAGCAGCTGCCCCCCCCAAGCCCAAAATCTAGTATCTGCCTTCCAGTGATGTAAAGGTAGTAGTACAGCGCTGCCCTGACTGACCAGCTCACTTAATCCAGATTATAGACAAGGAATTATAACATGGACTGACTGATAAACATCCATATGAAGTACAACTGCGCCACTGATCTGTAGTTACGCTACACCTGTTTCCATGGTTACACTATGTAGTTACTCATTTCCATGGTTACAGTTCTGTGGTTATGCTACACCTGTTTCCATAGTTACGTTTCTCTCATTTACATGAACACAGTGCACCCATTACCATAATTTCACTACACCTGTTACTATGGTTACACTACACCTGTTTCCATGGTTACACTATGTAGTTACTCATTTCCATGGTTACAGGAGACCCTTTTCCGTGGTTATACTACGACTGTTTCCATAGTTACGTTTTTCTCATTTACACGAATACAGTGCACCCATTACCATGATTACACTACACCTGTTATTATGGTTATACTACACCTGTTACCGTGGTTACACTACACCTATTTCCATTGTTATGCTACTCCCGTTTCCATAGTTAAGGTACTTTCATTTACATGGTTATGGTACATCTATTTCAATAGTTATACTACACCAGTTTCCATGGTTACACTACAGTTTCCATGGTTACACTATACTCATTTCTATGGTTACACTACACTTATTACCATGGTTACACTACACCTGCTTCCATGGTTACACTTCACCCATTACCATGGTTACGTTACACCTGTTTCCATGGTTACAATTCACCCATTACCATGGTTACACTACACCTATTTCTATGGTTGTGCTACTCTCGTTTCCACAGTTAAGCTACTTTCTTTTACATGGTTACGGTACACCCATTTCCATAAATACACTACACCCGTTTCCATGGTGACACTGTACTAATTTCTATAAATACGCTACATCCTTTTCCATTGTTATGCTGCAGTTTCCATGGTTACACCACACTCATTTCTGTGGTTACACTACATCAGTTTCCATGGTTACGCTGCAGCAGTTTCCGTAGGTACAGTACACTAATTTCTTTTGTTTTGGAACACATTCCCATAGGTTCATCATACCACTACACCCTTTTCCATGGTGACGTTATCTCCATGGTTGTGCTACAGTAATAATTTGTGAGAAGACGCCCCACAACTGACTTAATGCTATTCTGATGTGAACAGAGACTCAAAGATATTTAGGTTAAAACATTCAGAGCGTCATTTGAGAGGATCGTCTCAGTCAGTGCTTCAGTTACGATACTGTTCTGTAGCTCTGCTTTACCAGATAAACAGGCTGACCTTAGATAACAGTAGAAAAACATCCCCGCACTAGTTTTTCACACTGACCTCGATTCTGACCTCAACTCTCCTCTCTCAGATTTGGATGGTCAGTACAGTCTGACCCGTGCCCAGCGCGTCAGAGCGGCCATGTTCCCAGAGACGCTGGTGGAGGGAGAGTCGCCGCTGCCCACACAGACTGACCCTGACCAGCAGACTAATGTCCAGAGACTGGCCGAACCGTCTCAGCTCCTAAAGACCGCCATCGTCCACCTCATCAACTACCAAGACGATGCGGAACTGGCCACTCGCGCCGTGCCTGAGCTGACCAAACTGCTGGCCGATGAAGACCAGGTACAAACACAGGATATAAATAATAATACACATTTTTATTCATTATTTTTCTGCACAAAAATTAAAATGAAAAGCACTCATGATTTAGAATATAGACATGATTTGTAATCTGCTTCACTGGATTAACACAAAGTAGGACAGTAAATAAAAACGGTCAGAGCTGTGGAAAAGTCTGAAATGACAAAACTGTAGAGCATCAAGCATAATTAATAAAATTAATTTTCAGAATTCTTTATGTTCTAGAAATGATATCTGAAAGCACAAGAAAATTAATGTAAATATATAAATACAGTGCATTATTCATCATTTTATTGACTTATTATTATCAGAATTCTGGAAATATTGAATAAAACATCTTTAAACATGTTTTGGTGAACAGTTTGTAATATTGAAATCCACATTCTTCATAATCTCATCATGAACTCCAGATAAGAAAACAGCATCACACAAACATCCTAACTAGACTAAACCTCCTAAATCCTGTCCTAACTTTAGGATGAACCCCAACAGGGTCCTCACTTCTGTTTAAGGTCCGTTTCTATGGTTTTTAGGCAGCTGTGTCAGCAGCATAGTTCACTACCAGCATAATGAGCTCCATTTATTCCTACTGTAAAACGCTGCTTTCACTGTGAGATGATTTTCTTTTCTAACTCTGCGTTTTAAAGATCTCAGACGCTGCAGACTCGATCTCCACCGCCCCTCTGATCACCTTCGTGTGTTAATGTTGATGATGAAATATTACAGTGATGGTGGTGAATAATGAGGAGACGGAGCTGAACGTGTGTCTGTTTATTAGGAGGAGTAACGTTAGCGCGCTCGGCTAAAGCGTTTGGGAAATGGAGACTGAAACTGGGGAGCGGCGACGCTCTGATAAACAGCAGGGGGCGCCCTCACAGTATTCACACCTTACAGTTTATCACACTTTAGTTCTGTTTGACTTTTTTACATCAGTAACAGCAGCTTAACTCACGTTTTAACATTATTTTGATGACGTGTTTACGTCTCAGCTGTGTGTGTCTTTGGTCGGTTGCTAGGCAACAGACATGACAGCTGATTGTCGACTCTGATCGAGTAGGTTAAGATTTCCTAACTGGAGATAAGATGCTGTAAGATCAGATAAGATTCCTAAATTTAGATCAGATTTGCTTCTGTAATACGAATTTGTGAAACATCTTATCTCGACCTGTCAGATCTTAACTTAGGGATAAGAGGGAGGAAGTTTCTGTGATACGGTTCCTTTGATGGAGCTGCTGCTTTGGGAAGTGGCTGCTGTACAATGAAATAAAAATAAGCCAGTTTACAGTAATTTAAAACATGTGTAAGCCCCATAGAGCACATTAGCATGTCGTGATTTAAGCCCGTGAAACTGCTGGCTGTGCAGGTCACCGTGCGGTTTATGAAGCGTTCCAGCGTGACTGAATAAATCACTGCAGTAAATTAGAGTGTTTCGTTAAAGCTGAGCAGAGTGACAGAACACTGATCTAACATTACACGCCTGTCAATCAAACACAGGGCCTGAGAGATCCTCCTCAACGCTGTGACTTTCACCAAGGTCGCTTAACAGCCGAAACCGCAGTGTCGGGTTTATATTCGTTTAGAGCCACTAAAACAATTACTGCAAAACAACAGTGTGAAGAACAACAGTTGTTTCAGCCAATTACACTCTCAGCGCAGAGAGATGAAGCAGAAGACAGGTGGACAATAGACAGACAGACAGTTAGACAGACAGATACAGTACTGCGCAAAAGTCTTTTATTTCATTTCCAGTCAAAACAATCATTTTCAGGACACATTTCTGAGATTAGATACAAGATAATCCACCTGCAGAAGGAAGGAGAAAGTTAAAGGAGCTTCTAAAACTGGAGTTTAGAGCTACAGAGAAAACAGGGCTCCTAACAACCACCTGGAAGACCTGGTCGACCCCCAAACTGCCCCCGTCAGATAAACAGCACTGAAAGCTTTTATCTCTGAGAGAGAGGAGAAAATCAAGCTGCTTCAGATCTGAAAACATCCACAGGTGTTTCTGTCCATCCTTCCTCTGTGAGAAGACGACTCAGCGCTGTGGGTCTGAAAGGATGTGTAGCTGATCAAGAAGAACCTCACTGAGAAAAGGAGACGGACACATCAAACAAAGAAGCTGAACGATGGACTAACCACCCCAGAGTCCAGACCTCAACACCACTGAATGTGTTTGATTACTTCAGAAAATGATCAACCAGCTTCTAAGACTGAACTTTGGAGGTGTCAGGTCATGTTTTGCTGATTTTCTAAGTGAATCTAAGTCAGTCTGAGTTAGCATAAAAGCTAATATGGCTATGGCTAATGCATAAAAGCTGACAGGGACCAGTTAGCATAAACTCACTAGCATGATGTCCCTGCTAACGTCCACCTATCAGCAAGGCTAGCATGTCATTTATGTCATAAGAAAACCTTAATAATACAGTTTATCTTGTTTTAAACCCTGTTTCTAAACTGTCCTTTACAGTGTGTGAATATTTCATGATGAATGAACCAACAGAATTTTGGTTGATCTGATATCTGATAAAGATAATCAATATCAGTGATTGATCTCTCTGCTGTACTCTGTGCAGTGCGGCTCTGACTGTACAGTAATCTGATATCTGATAAAGCTAATCAATATCAGTGATTGATCTCTCTGCTGTACTCTGTGCAGTGCGGCTCTGACTGTACAGTTATCTGATAAAGCTAATCAATATCAGCGATTGATCTCTCTGCTGTACTCTGTGCAGTGCGGCTCTGACTGTACAGTAATCTGATAAAGCTAATCAATATCAGCGATTGATCTCTCTGCTGTACTCTGTGCAGTGCGGCTCTGACTGTACAGTAATCTGATATCTGATAAAGCTAATCAAATTCAGTGATTGATCTCTCTGCTGTACTCTGTGCAGTGCGGCTCTGACTGTACAGTAATCTGATATCTGATAAAGCTAATCAATATCAGCGATTGATCTCTCTGCTGTACTCTGTGCAGTGCGGCTCTGACTGTACAGTAATCTGATATCTGATAAAGCTAATCAATATCAGTGATTGATCTCTCTGCTGTACTCCGTGCAGGTGGTGGTGAACAAGGCGGCGCTGATCGTGAACCAGCTGACGCGGAAGGAGGCGTCGCGGCGTGTGCTGATGCAGTCTCCCCAGATGGTGGCGGCGGTGGTCAGAGCCCTGCAGGCCGGAGACCTGGAGACGTCCCGCTGCGCCGCCAGCGTCCTGCACAGCCTCTCCCACCAGAGGGAGGGGCTCCTCGCCATCTTCAAATCCGGAGGAATCCCCGCTCTCGTCCGCATGCTCAGGTCAGTCTGCAGGAGGAGTGGGGGAATAGACGAATGGACGAATGGACAGAAGAATGCAGGGATGGTTGGATGAATGAGTAGATGGATGGATGGATGGACAGATGGATGGATGGATGATGAATACATGGATGAATGGATGGTGTATAGATGGATGGATGGATAGACAGATGGATAGATGGATGGGTGGATGGATGGATGGATGGTGAATAGATGGATTGGTAAATGGATGGATTGATGCACGGTTGGATGGATAGACGGATGGATGGACAGATGCACAGATGGTTGGATGGACAGATGGATCGATGGATCAGTGATGGATGGATGGATGGAGAAATGGACAGATAGATGATGAACAAATGGATGAATAGATGGATGGTTGGATGATTGATCAACTGATGAATGGACAGAGGACCAAATGGATCGATGGTTGGATGGATGAATGATGAATAGATGGATGAATAAATGGATTGATGAATGGATTGATGAATGGATGGATAGCTGAATGGATAGAAATATGGATGGGTGAATGAATGAAAGGATGGAGGTATGGATGAACAAATGAATAGAGTGGTATGTGGGTGGCTGGGTGGATAAATGGATGAAAGAATGGATGGAAGGTGGATGGATGATGGATGGATGGATGGATGATCGTTCAGGATGGAGCTGCTCAGACTGACTCACCTGTGTTCACCTGTGGCTCATAGACTGAATAAGGAGCTGATAAAACATCAGAGACCAACATACTGAAAAGGTCATAGTAGATACTGAATAGTTAATAGCAAATACTGAATAATTCATAGCAAATACTGAATAATTCATAGTAAATACTGAATAATTCATAGTAGATACTGAATAATTCATAGTAGATACTGAATAATTAATAGCAAATACTAAATAATTCATAGTAGATACTGAATAGTTAATAGCAAATACTGAATAATTCATAGTAGACACTGAATAATTCATAGTAGATACTGAATAGTTAATAGCAAATACTGAATAATTCATAGTAAATACTGAATAATTCATAGTAGATACTGAATAATTCATAGTAGATACTGAATAATTCATAGTAAATACTGAATAATTCATAGTAAATACTGAATAATTCATAGTAGATACTGAATAATTAATAGCAAATACTAAATAATTCATAGTAGATACTGAATAGTTAATAGCAAATACTGAATAATTCATAGTAGACACTGAATAATTCATAGTAGATACTGAATAATTAATAGCAAATACTGAATAATTCATAGCAAATACTGAATAATTCATAGTAAATACTGAATAATTCATAGTAGATACTGAATAGTTAATAGCAAATACTGAATAATTCATAGCAAATACTGAATAATTCATAGTAGATACTGAATAGTTAATAGCAAATACTGAATAATTCATAGTAGTTACTGAATAGTTAATAGCAAATACTGAATAATTCATAGTAGACACTGAATCATTCATAGTAGTACTGAATAATTCATAGTAGTTACTGAATAGTTAATAGCAAATACTGAATAATTCATAGTAGACACTGAATCATTCATAGCAAATACTGAATAATTCATAGTAGACACTGAATCATTCATAGTAGATACTGAATAATTTATAGAAGTTACTGAATAGTTAATAGCAAATACTGAATAATTCATAGTAGACACTGAATAGTTAATAGCAAATACTGAATAATTCATAGTAGACACTGAATCATTCATAGTAGATACTGAATAATTCATAGTAGATACTGAATAGTTAATAGTAAATACTGAATAATTTATAGTAGATACTGAATAATTCATAGTAGATACTGAATGGTTAATAGTAAATACTGAATAATCCATAGTAGATACTGAATGGTTAATAGTAAATACTGAATAATCCATAGTAGATACTGAATGGTTAATAGCAAATACTGAATAATTCATAGTAGATCCTCAATAATTAATAGTAGATACTGAATAATTCATAGTAGTTACTGAATATACTGAATATATTATAAACTGTTTAAAACGTAGCTCAGGGACACTGTCACAAAAGATGGTTCTTCAAGGGTTGGTCAGTAAAGACAGTGGTTCTATTTAGCACCAGAAAGAGTTCTGCTATTGTTACAATGACAAGCTTGTAACAACAGAAAGGGCGTTCCCCATCACTGAAGAACCATTTCACCATGCAAAGAGCCATTTAATAATGCAAATCATTCATGGTTCTATATAGAACCACTGTCTTTACTACAGGTCTGTTTGTCAGAGTGCAGGGTTCTGATGGTGGGGCGGGTTCTCCCTGTTCAGTGTTCTATAAACAGTCAGCTGTTCCAGTTTATTTACTGTAACTCTGTTCAGGTTCGTACATGATTTAGACTCACAGTCAGCGGATTCGGTTCTTAAGGGAACATTTTCTCCTCTTTATTTAAAAATGAAAAGAGCGGAGTCATTTCTAGCCGGTTCTGCGGCTCTGTGGTTCCGCTGTGCAGATTGTTAGTATGCAGTGAGGCAGAGGGGAGGTGTTTCAGAGTGATGGAGCACATCTGCCCTCAGATCTCTCCTCCTCATCTCCTCTCAGCTGAAGCAGCTCCCACTTTCTGCCGCCTGTCCTGCTTATCGGCGGTGCTGAGTGAGCCTCCCGGGGCGAGAGGAGCCGAACGCGGAGCCAACGCTGCCGTCCCGTTTATCTGCAGCTCCGCTACTCCGGCCTCGCGGCGCTGTCCACCTCCCCGAGGCTAACCGCATTAGCATGCTGCTCCAGCGGCTCCCACAACAGCCCTCTTTGGCCTGGATTCGTTCAGATGATGAGCAGAGATGATGCTGAGCAGCCTGTTATATTAATAAGGGATGATGTGATACAGATTTTCTGACATTTCAGTTTTTCAGAGATTCATTTCATTCATTTCACTGCATCTGTAACTCAACACACAACACACAACTAACAACTAACAACACACAACACACAACAAACACCAAACACAAACACAAACACGTTTCATCCTCTGCAGATCTGTACGTGAAAACTGTTGACGTCTCTGCAAAACTCATTATTTCAGTATCTTATTTTACTGATTAAAATCTTATTAATTTATCTTAATTCTTTTCTTTTCCTTTATGACTTTTTTACAGTCTGATTTGCTTCAGATTTGAGTTTGAGAGGCTCATTTTTCATATTGAAATATATTAGCTGGTTTTAATTGCTATTTCTGGGTTTTGTTTATTTTTATTGTTTCCCTTTTTAATTAAATCTAAATTGTTCTTTTAAAGTTTTTCCATTAATCGTGTGATTTTATTTGTTTTTATTGTTAATCTGTTCAATTTATTTTTATCTGATTCCATTTCATTCCTAGTTTTATTATTATTTTTGTTTTTCAATCATTTTTTTTCTTTTTATTTGACAGATTTTCTATTTGATTGATTAAAGTGTTATTATTCTGTATTTGATCTTAATTCTATTATTTTATTTTGTTTTACTTTATTACCTTTTACAGTCTTTTTACTTAATTGCTTCAAATGCTAGTTTGCCTCATTTTTCCTTTAATGTTGAAAAGTATTAGCTGGGTTTTAATCCTGATTGTTCTTTTAATGATTTTCCATTTACCTCATTTGATTTTACTCCTAATCTGTTTAATCTGTGTGTGTGTGTGTGTGTGTTTGTGTGTGTGTGTGTGTGTTTGTGTGTATGTTTGTGTGTGTGTGTGTGTTTGTGTGTATGTTTGTGTGTGTGTGATTGTGTAATTGTGTGTGTGTGTGTGTGTGTGTGCGTGTCTTTGTGTGTGTGTGTGTGTGTGTGTGATTGTGTAATTGTGTGTGTGTGTGTATGTTTGTGTGTGCGTGTGTGTGTGCGTGTCTTTGTGTGTGTGTGTGTGTGTGTGATTGTGTAATTGGGTGTGTGTGTGTGTATGTTTGTGTGTGTGCGTGTGTGTGTGTGTGTGTGTGTCTGTGTGTGTGTGATTGCGTGTCTGTGTCTTTGTGTGTGTGTGTGTGTGTCTGTGTGTGTGTGATTGCGTGTCTGTGTCTTTGTGTGTGTGTGTGTGTGTGTGTGTGAGTGTGTGTGTGTGTGTGTGTGTGTGTGTGTGTGTGCGTGTGTGTGTGTGTGTGTGTGTGTATGTGTGTGTGTGTGTGTATGTTTGTGTGTGTGCGTGTGTGTGTGTGTATGTGTGTGTGTGTGTCTGTGTGTGTGTGTGTGTGTGTATGTGTGTGTGTGTGTGTATGTTTGTGTGTGTGCGTGTGTGTGTGTGTGTGTGTGTGTGTCTCAGCTCCCCGATGGAGTCGGTGCTGTTCTACTCCATCACCACTCTGCATAACCTGCTGCTGCACCAGGAGGGGGCGAAGATGGCGGTGCGTTTGGCCGACGGGCTGCAGAGGATGGTCCCCCTGCTGAAGAAGACCAACCCCAAATTCCTCGCCATCACCACCGACTGCCTGCAGCTGCTGTCCTACGGCAACCAGGAGAGCAAGGTCAGTCAGACAGGCAGTGTCCAGCACAGTCTCCCACCTCACTGTATGGTCTCTGTTCTGTCTGATACATGTTTCTAATTCTCTCAGTTATTTGGGGATTTTAAACTGGGAAACAAAATAGATAACTGGGACAAAAATAAATAAGAAAAATAAATAATATTATATCTATTTATCTGCAGCACAGTCATAATTTTATCTCCATTATCTTGATTTCATAATCGCTGGAAGCCAAAATGGTAATTGAAAATAAAATGTGATTAAGCGCCCAGCTCTGCTTCTAACAAACATCATGGGAAATGAGAAGGTATAATAATGTTCGTACAGTGGGGTCCTGAAGTCTGAGGCCTGGAGAAAAGGCTTTATTTGGCATTCTTCTCTAATTTAACACAAAGTTTTCAGCACAAACGGAATTATCAGCACAACACAGTATAATTATATACTATATAGAACCATAAACACATTCTCCATCAATCTAAAGAACCCTTTAACCGTGCACAGAACCATCTGATCTTCCAAATGGTTCTTTAAGTGTTTATGGCTCTATATAGAACCACTGTCTTTACTTGAAGAACCAAGTTTTTTGACATCACTGAGTGTAATCAGTGATGTCAGTGTTAGTGGGCGGGGCTGTGTGATCAGTGATGTCAGTGTCAGTGGGCGGGGCTGTGTGATCAGTGGTGTCAGTGTTAGTGGGCGGGGATGTGTGATCAGTGGTGTCAGTGTTAGTGGGCGGAGCTGTGTGATCAGTGGTGTCAGTGTTAGTGGGCGGGGCTGTGTGATCAGTGATGTCAGTGTTAGTGGGCGGAGCTGTGTGATCAGTGATGTCAGTGTTAGTGGGCAGAGCTGTGTGATTAGTGATGTCAGTGTTAGTGGGCGGGGATGTGTGATCAGTAATGTCAGTGTTCGTGGGCGGGGCTGTGTGATCAGTGATGTCAGTGTTAGTGGGCGGGGCTGTGTGATCAGTGGTGTCAGTGTTAGTGGGCGGGGCTGTGTGATCAGTAATGTCAGTGTTCGTGGGAGGGGCTGTGTGATCAGTGATGTCAGTGTTAGTGGGCGGGGCTGTGTGATCAGTGGTGTCAGTGTTAGTGGGCGGGGCTGTGTGATCAGTGGTGTCAGTGTTAGTGGGCGGAGCTGTGTGATCAGTGATGTCAGTGTTAGTGGGCGGAGCTGTGTGATCAGTGATGTCAGTGTTAGTGGGCGGAGCTGTGTGATCAGTGATGTCCGTGTTAGTGGGCGGGGATGTTTGATCAGTGATGTCAGTGTTAGTAGGCGGGGCTGTGTGATCAGTGATGTCAGTGTTAGTGGGCGGAGCTGTGTGATCAGTGGTGTCAGTGTTCGTGGGTGGGGCTGTGTGATCAGTGGTGTCAGTGTCAGTGGGCGGGGCTGTGTGATCAGTGATGTCAGTGTTAGTGGGCGGAGCTGTGTGATCAGTGGTGTCAGTGTTAGTAGGCGGAGCTGTGTGATCAGTGGTGTCAGTGTTAGTGGGCGGGGCTGTGTGATCAGTGGTGTCAGTGTTAGTGGGCAGGGCTGTGTGATCAGTGATGTCAGTGTTAGTGGGCGGGGCTGTGTGATCAGT